TTTTGCAGCAGGACAGGTGTATATAGGAAATGTCCAAAGAGCAAGTCCTTAATCATAACATTGACACGAGATGGCGCTGTAGATCCCTAAAAGACTTAACACTGGTACCATTGAACTTAATTAAATAAGCTGGATGGCACTCATCGATTTCACCATAGACCTACGCACATTGTAGGTATAGGGAATTGTGGCTTACACATGTCGGTTGCCCAATCGTAATGCATGCCGGACAGGCGTATGAAAGATGACATCATTATTTATATTTGGCATACACATTGAAATACATGTATTACGGCCCTGTAGTGGCGGTTGGTAATAGGACGCATGTTGCCCGTCATCTTGCTTTACACTTTTTCCTGAAATCGACTATATATATCCTTATTTCATCTATCGATCCGGTCTTGTGCATATCATCAAGACTATATACGTTATGCGCTGTATAAGGCTATTATTGGTTATGGTTTACTGATATACAATTGATTTAATTTAATTGATTTGATTTGATTTGATTTGATTAATTTATTTCTGTTTAATTTTCTTTTTCTTTTGCAGTTTTACAAATATATAACAAACAATTCATTGCCAATTTTACACATGACAAAAGAGTATATGTAGAATAAAGGCTGGGTGTAACTAATCGAAAACATCAAACAGCAGGGTTGACAAAGTAAGCAAAGCTTGATAGCATGACTACGCTCAATGGATACATAATACTACAAATATGGAGGAACAAATATTGGTAAAAGTGGAAAAAGAGATGGAGAAAAAAGAAAAGAAAGAGGGGTGTACATCAAGATTCACAGATGTATGTGGTAGTTGGATTTCAATTTTATATAATTGTTTATGAAGATAAAAAGAAGAAGAAGAAGAAGAAGATAAAAAAGAAGAAGCACATTTGAGTATAAGGTGGCCAACTTAGGATATAATATAGAATGAGAAGACTCGCAAGGTATTTGGAAAATATGAATAAGAATTGAGATCAGCGAGCTGGTTTATAAAATACTGTAAACCTGGGTTAGCTGCGAGTCGGAGACTTGAAATGTTTGTATATATATAACACAGTAAGTATCCCAAGCAGGCCACTCGTTATGCACTCATTTATTCATACCAGATCATGGAAGGTTATAATCAATGTGTCAATGCATTGAAGCAGAAAGAGTAAGAAAACTGAAAACTATCGAGTTTGGTAACGAGTCGACGGGCTAACGAGGAGAAATTATTAAGATTGACGGTAAGCAAATTTTGATGACAAGATAATAATAAATAAGACTTTCTCCCCGCTCTTTAAAGGAAAGCATAATCATTATCAAATGTATCGTATTACTCATTTATTTAACTAATCCATTCAAAACTACGCTATATATTAATATGAATATTAAACGAATGTCATATTCCTTTTGTTGTTGTAATACTTATTGATGGTTCTGAGAAACGGCTCTTTTCAGAGCCACCAAATAATCAAGAAAGAATACTGTTGTATGTTATGTTCAGGGGCGTACGCAGGGGGGGTGTTTTGGGGGTTCAAACCCCCCCTTTGGTATTTTAATGTATGTAAACCCCCCTAAAAAACCCTAAACCCCCCCCCCCCCCCTTTGGCTTTTTTTTTTTTTTTTTATTTAAAAAAAAAAAAAAAAAAAAAAAAAAAAAAATTTATACCCACGGCTAACCTAAATAAGGTGACCTTACCCCCCCCCCCCCCATACGTAAAAAAATGTCAAATTTTAAAATTTTGAGACCAAAAAAAAAAAAAAAGTGTCCGCTTACCCCCCCCCCCCCCCCCCCCCCCCCCCCCCCCCCCCCCCCCCCCCCCCCACTGAGCGACTTTTCGGCCGGCGCGATTTTCAAATTTTCGGGAGCAAAATATTTTAAAACCCCCCCCCTTGAAAAAATCCTGCGTACGCCCCTGGTTATGTTAATACCGTAAAGAAAGTAAAGAAAGAAGAAGAAGAAGAAATAAGCCGTTAATATAAGGCAACAACGAATAATGACTGTAAATACCTCCCAGAAGAGGCGATATAGTGAGTGGTACAGACAGATGAAAGGCAAATCATGAAACAGAAAGCAGTGAATGAAATTTAGGTTGGGCAAGAAGGGTGTGTCTATTCCAAAAGAAAGGCAGATTATGAAACAGAAAGCAGTAAGAAATTTAGTTAGAAATAGTGTATAGACATTGGCATTTGTAGTATGAGGGTCCTTATGTATGTTTTCAACTGAAATTGAACATTGAAATTGAACAAAAGAGAATTATGATTTATTTAAACAAAAGTAAATGCTAGTTATTAAACAGCCTACTCTGTGATAAAAGATGCGAAATGGATAAATACAAAATAAAAGATGCATGTTGTTTTCATAATGATAATAGCTACTATGTAATTGTATAGCGCTTAATACAGCGCTTTAGATATATTATATAGGTTCCCTTTTTCATTTGCTGTAACCAAATAATTTTGAAATACAATGTCAAAGATATTTCATTGCTCATTTCTGTTATATCATTACGTTTATTATTATTGTCTATCATTGTTTATATTGTGTGAGAAGAAATGAAAAATGAATTCGCTCTTTACATATAGAGAGAGCTACTACTACTATATAATTATATATCTCCGAGATAATGTCAAAAGTAGGAGTGAATCATAACCTGTGCAAGTATGTCTTGGATAAAAAGTCTCGACATGTTCCATATTCCCATCAAAATCATCGTCTTCTTCAACTTTTTCACATTTCTCATTCTTTGGGGATTGAATTGAACAATGCAGATAGATTCCTATATTAGAACATATGCCCGTATGATCACTATGTCGCCATCTCTAGGCAGGGGATGGAACAGGCACTAATTCTGCGACGCCTAAGACCAATGAAAGGATCGAGACCGAGGCTCATTTGCATACGGACCGCAGCATACGGATCCGGCCCCGTGTATAAAAAGGAAAGGTTCTCGCTGGCCATTCACAGTATCCAAAGAATATTTGCTTGACATACTCTTTCGCTGCATCTTTACAGACCAGAAAACCTCAATTCATCATGGCTCCAACAGCTCAAGTTGCTAAGAAAGGCTCCAAGAAGGCAGTCAAGGCACCTCGGCCCAGCGGTGGCAAGAAGAGGAACAGGAAAAGGAAGGAGAGTTATGGAATCTACATCTACAAAGTCCTCAAGCAGGTTCATCCAGATACCGGCATCTCCAGTCGGGCCATGGTCATCATGAACAGCTTCGTCAACGACATCTTCGAGCGAATTGCCGGCGAATCTTCCCGCCTCGCTCAGTACAACAAAAAGTCAACCATCAGCAGTCGCGAGATTCAGACCGCCGTCCGCCTCATTCTCCCCGGAGAGCTGGCAAAGCACGCTGTGAGCGAGGGTACCAAGGCAGTGACGAAATACACTACCTCCAAGTAGACAGGTCATATCCTGCTCTAATTGGACATAATACAACGGCCCTTTTCAGGGCCACACAAATAATCAAGAAAGAATGATATCCGTAGTAATGTAGCGTAGTTGTTTATTAAATAAATAATGTGTATAACGAATATAAGATATAATCAAGATTACACAATAGTATGTAATAATATTAGCCCTATATAAATCTCACTCTATAAATCTAGACTAGAGCATAAAGTGTAGTCATGATGGTCGGAAGGAAGACGAAAATAGTTGATTAATTAAATAAAAAAGAAATACAATTCGAGATGGCAACATGTCCTAAATGATATATGTCCATGCATCCTTTCCTTCCTTGAAAGGTTGACGAGATGCAGGTTAAGTCTTTTCTCATGATTCATCACCACCCAGCTCCCTGCCTGCCTCCCTCTCATCCGCCCTCTCAAGATCAGCCGAGCAGACTCTCGGTCAAACACCTTAATCATCATTTGTTAGAATGCATATTTTCGTAATTATTTGGCACCACTGAGTGCGTGAGCCGAATTCCCGGCTTGCCATGTAACCCATGTTGCAAACGGTGGTAGCGCCACCTTTCGACACATTTTATTGACTTTGCACATACGGCATCGCCAAGCCCCCTTCCCGTCACGCGCTAAACAAAAGAGCAACCCGGTTGACCAATCAAGAGAGCTTTACAAACGCAGGGCGACGGCACCAGGATCCTTCGCAGCACATATAAATAGCTGAAAATTGCCAGTGGTTCTCATTCATCCCGTCACTCGTATTTGAAGTACTGAATTACCTACTGTCTCTCAAGCAACTATGGCACGCACCAAGCAGACCGCTCGCAAATCTACAGGAGGGAAGGCTCCCCGCAAGCAGCTGGCAACCAAAGCTGCCAGAAAGAGTGCCCCCGCCACTGGAGGAGTCAAGAAGCCTCATCGATACAGGCCTGGCACAGTCGCCCTGAGAGAGATTCGCCGCTACCAGAAGAGCACTGAGCTTCTCATCCGAAAACTGCCATTCCAGCGTCTAGTGCGTGAGATTGCACAGGACTTCAAGACAGAGCTACGTTTCCAGAGTTCCGCTGTGATGGCCCTTCAAGAAGCCAGCGAGGCATACCTAGTTGGCCTCTTTGAGGACACCAACCTGTGTGCCATCCACGCCAAGAGGGTTACCATCATGCCCAAAGACATCCAGCTCGCCCGTCGAATCCGCGGAGAACGCGCCTAGAACCATCGGTACAGCATGTAGCCCATGCACCGCATACACAAACGGCTCTTTTCAGAGCCACCACAACCCCAAGAAAGAATCATTGATTTCTAAAATGAACACGATGCATGACAATCGACGCTATTATAAGAAGAAAAAAAACAAAAACATTTGTAGATCATAATTGAGATGAACGATATGATGAAAATGTAGAACATAGTTTAGATACACGATATGATAAAAATGGAGAACACAATAAGTGTTAGGTATTAAAATGTGCAAGGAATATTCAAATATAAATCCATGAAATCTATGAACGTTTAATACTACGAACGTATGCCACATAATAAATCAAAGCTAGGGTGAATTATGATGAAACATATATTCTCAGAAAGAGAGTTTTTAGGCGATTGATTGATTGATTGATTGATTGATTGATTGATCTCTGAAATACAACATAGAACCTGACACTATTGGAAATAGGGGCAGTGTACTTGGAATGGGCTACAGTTTTATCACATGTTTTTAGGCGTTGTCGTCCCATCCATTTGAATTGATCTGTGTTTCTTTTTAATTCAAGAAACCCTATACAATCTGATTGTGGAGAAAACGGATAAGTCGCCGCGAGATGGCACCATTCACTAATGATGCGAAACAAGTTTAAGGAGATCCGGTCAGCTACCCGCTGATTGGACAATAGTCACAATGCCCCCCGACGGTCACTGCGATCCTAACACCAGGTATAAATAGCCACCAAAACGCTGCTGGGCATCCATTCAAGTCATCGAACATTGTTACGTTCTGAACTTCGCTTCCGATTTATTCTAAACTCATCAACAACATCATGTCTGGCAGAGGAAAGAGTGGAAAGGCCCGCACCAAGGCAAAGACGCGCTCATCCCGTGCAGGGCTCCAGTTTCCAGTGGGACGTGTTCATCGGTTTCTCCGAAAGGGCAACTATGCAAAGAGGGTCGGCGGTGGAGCTCCTGTCTACATGGCTGCCGTCCTAGAGTACCTCACTGCCGAAATCTTGGAACTCGCAGGCAACGCTGCCCGCGACAACAAGAAATCTAGGATCATCCCACGCCACCTTCAACTCGCTGTGCGTAATGATGAAGAACTCAACAAGCTTTTGGGTGGGGTGACGATCGCTCAAGGTGGTGTTCTGCCCAACATCCAAGCCGTGCTGCTCCCCAAGAAAACCGCTAAATCAAGCTAGAGTTTGCTCCCGGCAATCTTGAAACCTCAACGGCCCTTATCAGGGCCACCAATTACTCACGAAAGAATTGTTTCATTTATGAGTTCCCTTCCCCACTCTCTCTCTCTCTCTCTCTCTCTCTCTCTCTCTCTCTCTCTCTCCCTCTCTCTTAGTTTAAAACGCTACACTTGGGATGAACTAAGCCTTAACAGTTGTTGTATATAATGATTGATATATATTAAATAAAGATACGCATCCTTAGATGTTATGAACAAAAAAAGTGTATGAGCAGTAAAAGAAAAGAAAGGTGGTTAATCAAAAATATATTTACAGTTACTAGTACGGATATTAGGGTGACCATGCAGGGCAAAATATTATCTTTTTAGTCGGCATTTTAATGGGAAACTATGAATATGCAATTTCCCATGAATGTGACTGTGTTTCAAGAGGGGTGACGATCAGGGGTTGATGGTGTTATCGCCATTTGATTTCATTTTTTCTTCAAATTCATATAATGATTGAGTACATTATACGTGGTAGGAGAGGAGAGGATGAAGAAGAAGAAGAAGACGGAGAAAGAGAAGAAGGAGAAGGGGGTGGTGGAATAAGAGCATGTATGGATGGAAAAGAAGGGAGAAAAGTTTCTTTAAACAAACACAAACTGGCATGCAGTCATGGGGGCGGACGACCCGGGACTGTCTCCTCCCACGTACGCAACAATGCCTTATATTGACGGCGTTGCCGAGCCGATGGTTATTCGTTTTGTTAACCTCCCGACGCACCGTATATCAAGATGGCTGAGAAGAATAGCTCTAAGAAGGTGACTACTAAGAAGCCGGCCGCCCACCCACCGGCTGCCGAGATGGTTGCTACAGCAATCACCGAGTTGAAGGACCGCAATGGCTCCTCGCTGCAAGCAATAAAGAAGTATATCGCTACCAATTTCGATGTGCAGATGGACCGACAGCTGCTATTCATCAAGCGGGCCCTAAAGTCTGGCGTGGAGAAAGGCAAACTAGTGCAGACGAAGGGGAAAGGAGCTTCGGGTTCTTTCAAGGTGAATGTGCAGGCGGCCAAGGCACAGGCGTCGGAGAAGGCCAAGAAGGAGAAGGAGAAGGCAAAACTGCTAGCACAGCGTGAGAAGGCCAAGGAAAAGGCTGCAGCGAAGAAGGAGAAACTGCAGAAGGCAGCCGCCGCAAAGAAAGTCAAGGCAGCCCCCAAGAAAGCGAAGAAGCCAGTAAAGAAAACGACTGAGAAGAAAGAGAAGAAGAAGACTCCAAAGAAGGCACCCAAGAAGCCAGCAGCCAAGAAATCAACACCAAAGAAGACGCCCAAGAAGGCAGCCGCAAAGAAACCCAAGACTGCCAAGCCCAAGAAGCCTGCGGCAAAGAAGGCTGCAAAGTCCAAGTGATTTGCACGCCAACTTTCCCATCCTACCAAAACGGCTCTTTTCAGAGCCACCACATACCCAAGAAAGAAACACTTGTCCAAATGCACTCATGAGATACTATGATTATGTGTAATGAAAAAGAAAATGAAGAAGAAAAAAAGGGGGATGGGGGATGAAACAAAGAAAATGGATAAAAAGAAATTAAAAAGGGAAATAAGAATGACATGAATTATGGACGGTGATATTTGCCCAATTAGCACTGGTTCTCGTTTCAGCCCTTTTAAAATACAAACAAACTATATATAATACAGTACTTGTGAATATAAAAAAAGATGAACATATGAATCATATACGGAAAAAAAAATGAAGGATGAGAGAGAAAGAGGCACGCGGGCGGGCTTGGGTGAGGAATGCATATTGAGTAATGTATATTGAGTAATGTTGGTGATGACCGATTTTTCAGTTAATTAAGTTTCGTCATCCATGTATACTGCTGGATAAGATTCGTCACCCCCTCTTTTTTCAACTCGAGCATTCAACACAGGCCTCTCTACATAAATGCATGTACTAATGCTAGCGAATACTCGCCACAAGGGGGCGCACTCGAATGGGGAGTCTCCGCACTCCAGTCCCGCATACCGAACGATGCCGAATCTCGTCACCCAAGTCCGCAATGGTGTAACAATACTCGGTGCAATCCGGTTGAGGCATCATTCGCTTAGCGTAATATCCAGTCTACAGGATCACACAGAACTCGCTCTCAACTATCAATCATCATCATGTCAGGTCGAGGAAAAGGAGGAAAGGGACTCGGAAAGGGTGGTGCCAAACGTCATCGCAAGGTTCTACGAGATAACATCCAAGGCATCACCAAGCCTGCAATCCGTCGACTTGCTAGAAGGGGAGGTGTCAAGAGGATCTCTGGTCTCATCTACGAAGAGACACGCGGTGTACTGAAGGTCTTCCTGGAGAATGTCATCCGTGATGCAGTCACCTACTGCGAGCACGCCAAGCGAAAGACTGTCACAGCCATGGACGTGGTGTATGCACTAAAGAGGCAGGGTCGTACATTGTACGGCTTCGGCGGCTAAGTGTAGCAGACCTCTCTCTCTCCTGGCTAGAATAACAAACGGCTCTTTTCAGAGCCACCAAATAATCAAGAAAGAATACTGTTGTATGTTATGTTAATACCGTAAAGAAAGTAAAGAAAGAAGAAGAAGAAGAAATAAGCCGTTAATATAAGGCAACAACGAATAATGACTGTAAATACCTCCCAGAAGAGGCGATATAGTGAGTGGTACAGACAGATGAAAGGCAAATCATGAAACAGAAAGCAGTGAATGAAATTTAGGTTGGGCAAGAAGGGTGTGTCTATTCCAAAAGAAAGGCAGATTATGAAACAGAAAGCAGTAAGAAATTTAGTTAGAAATAGTGTATAGACATTGGCATTTGTAGTATGAGGGTCCTTATGTATGTTTTCAACTGAAATTGAACATTGAAATTGAACAAAAGAGAATTATGATTTATTTAAACAAAAGTAAATGCTAGTTATTAAACAGCCTACTCTGTGATAAAAGATGCGAAATGGATAAATACAAAATAAAAGATGCATGTTGTTTTCATAATGATAATAGCTACTATGTAATTGTATAGCGCTTAATACAGCGCTTTAGATATATTATATAGGTTCCCTTTTTCATTTGCTGTAACCAAATAATTTTGAAATACAATGTCAAAGATATTTCATTGCTCATTTCTGTTATATCATTACGTTTATTATTATTGTCTATCATTGTTTATATTGTGTGAGAAGAAATGAAAAATGAATTCGCTCTTTACATATAGAGAGAGCTACTACTACTATATAATTATATATCTCCGAGATAATGTCAAAAGTAGGAGTGAATCATAACCTGTGCAAGTATGTCTTGGATAAAAAGTCTCGACATGTTCCATATTCCCATCAAAATCATCGTCTTCTTCAACTTTTTCACATTTCTCATTCTTTGGGGATTGAATTGAACAATGCAGATAGATTCCTATATTAGAACATATGCCCGTATGATCACTATGTCGCCATCTCTAGGCAGGGGATGGAACAGGCACTAATTCTGCGACGCCTAAGACCAATGAAAGGATCGAGACCGAGGCTCATTTGCATACGGACCGCAGCATACGGATCCGGCCCCGTGTATAAAAAGGAAAGGTTCTCGCTGGCCATTCACAGTATCCAAAGAATATTTGCTTGACATACTCTTTCGCTGCATCTTTACAGACCAGAAAACCTCAATTCATCATGGCTCCAACAGCTCAAGTTGCTAAGAAAGGCTCCAAGAAGGCAGTCAAGGCACCTCGGCCCAGCGGTGGCAAGAAGAGGAACAGGAAAAGGAAGGAGAGTTATGGAATCTACATCTACAAAGTCCTCAAGCAGGTTCATCCAGATACCGGCATCTCCAGTCGGGCCATGGTCATCATGAACAGCTTCGTCAACGACATCTTCGAGCGAATTGCCGGCGAATCTTCCCGCCTCGCTCAGTACAACAAAAAGTCAACCATCAGCAGTCGCGAGATTCAGACCGCCGTCCGCCTCATTCTCCCCGGAGAGCTGGCAAAGCACGCTGTGAGCGAGGGTACCAAGGCAGTGACGAAATACACTACCTCCAAGTAGACAGGTCATATCCTGCTCTAATTGGACATAATACAACGGCCCTTTTCAGGGCCACACAAATAATCAAGAAAGAATGATATCCGTAGTAATGTAGCGTAGTTGTTTATTAAATAAATAATGTGTATAACGAATATAAGATATAATCAAGATTACACAATAGTATGTAATAATATTAGCCCTATATAAATCTCACTCTATAAATCTAGACTAGAGCATAAAGTGTAGTCATGATGGTCGGAAGGAAGACGAAAATAGTTGATTAATTAAATAAAAAAGAAATACAATTCGAGATGGCAACATGTCCTAAATGATATATGTCCATGCATCCTTTCCTTCCTTGAAAGGTTGACGAGATGCAGGTTAAGTCTTTTCTCATGATTCATCACCACCCAGCTCCCTGCCTGCCTCCCTCTCATCCGCCCTCTCAAGATCAGCCGAGCAGACTCTCGGTCAAACACCTTAATCATCATTTGTTAGAATGCATATTTTCGTAATTATTTGGCACCACTGAGTGCGTGAGCCGAATTCCCGGCTTGCCATGTAACCCATGTTGCAAACGGTGGTAGCGCCACCTTTCGACACATTTTATTGACTTTGCACATACGGCATCGCCAAGCCCCCTTCCCGTCACGCGCTAAACAAAAGAGCAACCCGGTTGACCAATCAAGAGAGCTTTACAAACGCAGGGCGACGGCACCAGGATCCTTCGCAGCACATATAAATAGCTGAAAATTGCCAGTGGTTCTCATTCATCCCGTCACTCGTATTTGAAGTACTGAATTACCTACTGTCTCTCAAGCAACTATGGCACGCACCAAGCAGACCGCTCGCAAATCTACAGGAGGGAAGGCTCCCCGCAAGCAGCTGGCAACCAAAGCTGCCAGAAAGAGTGCCCCCGCCACTGGAGGAGTCAAGAAGCCTCATCGATACAGGCCTGGCACAGTCGCCCTGAGAGAGATTCGCCGCTACCAGAAGAGCACTGAGCTTCTCATCCGAAAACTGCCATTCCAGCGTCTAGTGCGTGAGATTGCACAGGACTTCAAGACAGAGCTACGTTTCCAGAGTTCCGCTGTGATGGCCCTTCAAGAAGCCAGCGAGGCATACCTAGTTGGCCTCTTTGAGGACACCAACCTGTGTGCCATCCACGCCAAGAGGGTTACCATCATGCCCAAAGACATCCAGCTCGCCCGTCGAATCCGCGGAGAACGCGCCTAGAACCATCGGTACAGCATGTAGCCCATGCACCGCATACACAAACGGCTCTTTTCAGAGCCACCACAACCCCAAGAAAGAATCATTGATTTCTAAAATGAACACGATGCATGACAATCGACGCTATTATAAGAAGAAAAAAAACAAAAACATTTGTAGATCATAATTGAGATGAACGATATGATGAAAATGTAGAACATAGTTTAGATACACGATATGATAAAAATGGAGAACACAATAAGTGTTAGGTATTAAAATGTGCAAGGAATATTCAAATATAAATCCATGAAATCTATGAACGTTTAATACTACGAACGTATGCCACATAATAAATCAAAGCTAGGGTGAATTATGATGAAACATATATTCTCAGAAAGAGAGTTTTTAGGCGATTGATTGATTGATTGATTGATTGATTGATTGATCTCTGAAATACAACATAGAACCTGACACTATTGGAAATAGGGGCAGTGTACTTGGAATGGGCTACAGTTTTATCACATGTTTTTAGGCGTTGTCGTCCCATCCATTTGAATTGATCTGTGTTTCTTTTTAATTCAAGAAACCCTATACAATCTGATTGTGGAGAAAACGGATAAGTCGCCGCGAGATGGCACCATTCACTAATGATGCGAAACAAGTTTAAGGAGATCCGGTCAGCTACCCGCTGATTGGACAATAGTCACAATGCCCCCCGACGGTCACTGCGATCCTAACACCAGGTATAAATAGCCACCAAAACGCTGCTGGGCATCCATTCAAGTCATCGAACATTGTTACGTTCTGAACTTCGCTTCCGATTTATTCTAAACTCATCAACAACATCATGTCTGGCAGAGGAAAGAGTGGAAAGGCCCGCACCAAGGCAAAGACGCGCTCATCCCGTGCAGGGCTCCAGTTTCCAGTGGGACGTGTTCATCGGTTTCTCCGAAAGGGCAACTATGCAAAGAGGGTCGGCGGTGGAGCTCCTGTCTACATGGCTGCCGTCCTAGAGTACCTCACTGCCGAAATCTTGGAACTCGCAGGCAACGCTGCCCGCGACAACAAGAAATCTAGGATCATCCCACGCCACCTTCAACTCGCTGTGCGTAATGATGAAGAACTCAACAAGCTTTTGGGTGGGGTGACGATCGCTCAAGGTGGTGTTCTGCCCAACATCCAAGCCGTGCTGCTCCCCAAGAAAACCGCTAAATCAAGCTAGAGTTTGCTCCCGGCAATCTTGAAACCTCAACGGCCCTTATCAGGGCCACCAATTACTCACGAAAGAATTGTTTCATTTATGAGTTCCCTTCCCCACTCTCTCTCTCTCTCTCTCTCTCTCTCTCTCTCTCTCTCTCTCTCCCTCTCTCTTAGTTTAAAACGCTACACTTGGGATGAACTAAGCCTTAACAGTTGTTGTATATAATGATTGATATATATTAAATAAAGATACGCATCCTTAGATGTTATGAACAAAAAAGTGTATGAGCAGTAAAAGAAAAAGAAAGGTGGTTAATCAAAAATATATTTACAGTTACTAGTACGGATATTAGGGTGACCATGCAGGGCAAAATATTATCTTTTTAGTCGGCATTTTAATGGGAAACTATGAATATGCAATTTCCCATGAATGTGACTGTGTTTCAAGAGGGGTGACGATCAGGGGTTGATGGTGTTATCGCCATTTGATTTCATTTTTTCTTCAAATTCATATAATGATTGAGTACATTATACGTGGTAGGAGAGGAGAGGATGAAGAAGAAGAAGAAGACGGAGAAAGAGAAGAAGGAGAAGGGGGTGGTGGAATAAGAGCATGTATGGATGGAAAAGAAGGGAGAAAAGTTTCTTTAAACAAACACAAACTGGCATGCAGTCATGGGGGCGGACGACCCGGGACTGTCTCCTCCCACGTACGCAACAATGCCTTATATTGACGGCGTTGCCGAGCCGATGGTTATTCGTTTTGTTAACCTCCCGACGCACCGTATATCAAGATGGCTGAGAAGAATAGCTCTAAGAAGGTGACTACTAAGAAGCCGGCCGCCCACCCACCGGCTGCCGAGATGGTTGCTACAGCAATCACCGAGTTGAAGGACCGCAATGGCTCCTCGCTGCAAGCAATAAAGAAGTATATCGCTACCAATTTCGATGTGCAGATGGACCGACAGCTGCTATTCATCAAGCGGGCCCTAAAGTCTGGCGTGGAGAAAGGCAAACTAGTGCAGACGAAGGGGAAAGGAGCTTCGGGTTCTTTCAAGGTGAATGTGCAGGCGGCCAAGGCACAGGCGTCGGAGAAGGCCAAGAAGGAGAAGGAGAAGGCAAAACTGCTAGCACAGCGTGAGAAGGCCAAGGAAAAGGCTGCAGCGAAGAAGGAGAAACTGCAGAAGGCAGCCGCCGCAAAGAAAGTCAAGGCAGCCCCCAAGAAAGCGAAGAAGCCAGTAAAGAAAACGACTGAGAAGAAAGAGAAGAAGAAGACTCCAAAGAAGGCACCCAAGAAGCCAGCAGCCAAGAAATCAACACCAAAGAAGACGCCCAAGAAGGCAGCCGCAAAGAAACCCAAGACTGCCAAGCCCAAGAAGCCTGCGGCAAAGAAGGCTGCAAAGTCCAAGTGATTTGCACGCCAACTTTCCCATCCTACCAAAACGGCTCTTTTCAGAGCCACCACATACCCAAGAAAGAAACACTTGTCCAAATGCACTCATGAGATACTATGATTATGTGTAATGAAAAAGAAAATGAAGAAGAAAAAAAGGGGGATGGGGGATGAAACAAAGAAAATGGATAAAAAGAAATTAAAAAGGGAAATAAGAATGACATGAATTATGGACGGTGATATTTGCCCAATTAGCACTGGTTCTCGTTTCAGCCCTTTTAAAATACAAACAAACTATATATAATACAGTACTTGTGAATATAAAAAAAGATGAACATATGAATCATATACGGAAAAAAAATGAAGGATGAGAGAGAAAGAGGCACGCGGGCGGGCTTGGGTGAGGAATGCATATTGAGTAATGTATATTGAGTAATGTTGGTGATGACCGATTTTTCAGTTAATTAAGTTTCGTCATCCATGTATACTGCTGGATAAGATTCGTCACCCCCTCTTTTTTCAACTCGAGCATTCAACACAGGCCTCTCTACATAAATGCATGTACTAATGCTAGCGAATACTCGCCACAAGGGGGCGCACTCGAATGGGGAGTCTCCGCACTCCAGTCCCGCATACCGAACGATGCCGAATCTCGTCACCCAAGTCCGCAATGGTGTAACAATACTCGGTGCAATCCGGTTGAGGCATCATTCGCTTAGCGTAATATCCAGTCTACAGGATCACACAGAACTCGCTCTCAACTATCAATCATCATCATGTCAGGTCGAGGAAAAGGAGGAAAGGGACTCGGAAAGGGTGGTGCCAAACGTCATCGCAAGGTTCTACGAGATAACATCCAAGGCATCACCAAGCCTGCAATCCGTCGACTTGCTAGAAGGGGAGGTGTCAAGAGGATCTCTGGTCTCATCTACGAAGAGACACGCGGTGTACTGAAGGTCTTCCTGGAGAATGTCATCCGTGATGCAGTCACCTACTGCGAGCACGCCAAGCGAAAGACTGTCACAGCCATGGACGTGGTGTATGCACTAAAGAGGCAGGGTCGTACATTGTACGGCTTCGGCGGCTAAGTGTAGCAGACCTCTCTCTCTCCTGGCTAGAATAACAAACGGCTCTTTTCAGAGCCACCAAATAATCAAGAAAGAATACTGTTGTATGTTATGTTAATACCGTAAAGAAAGTAAAGAAAGAAGAAGAAGAAGAAATAAGCCGTTAATATAAGGCAACAACGAATAATGACTGTAAATACCTCCCAGAAGAGGCGATATAGTGAGTGGTACAGACAGATGAAAGGCAAATCATGAAACAGAAAGCAGTGAATGAAATTTAGGTTGGGCAAGAAGGGTGTGTCTATTCCAAAAGAAAGGCAGATTATGAAACAGAAAGCAGTAAGAAATTTAGTTAGAAATAGTGTATAGACATTGGCATTTGTAGTATGAGGGTCCTTATGTATGTTTTCAACTGAAATTGAACATTGAAATTGAACAAAAGAGAATTATGATTTATTTAAACAAAAGTAAATGCTAGTTATTAAACAGCCTACTCTGTGATAAAAGATGCGAAATGGATAAATACAAAATAAAAGATGCATGTTGTTTTCATAATGATAATAGCTACTATGTAATTGTATAGCGCTTAATACAGCGCTTTAGATATATTATATAGGTTCCCTTTTTCATTTGCTGTAACCAAATAATTTTGAAATACAATGTCAAAGATATTTCATTGCTCATTTCTGTTATATCATTACGTTTATTATTATTGTCTATCATTGTTTATATTGTGTGAGAAGAAATGAAAAATGAATTCGCTCTTTACATATAGAGAGAGCTACTACTACTATATAATTATATATCTCCGAGATAATGTCAAAAGTAGGAGTGAATCATAACCTGTGCAAGTATGTCTTGGATAAAAAGTCTCGACATGTTCCATATTCCCATCAAAATCATCGTCTTCTTCAACTTTTTCACATTTCTCATTCTTTGGGGATTGAATTGAACAATGCAGATAGATTCCTATATTAGAACATATGCCCGTATGATCACTATGTCGCCATCTCTAGGCAGGGGATGGAACAGGCACTAATTCTGCGACGCCTAAGACCAATGAAAGGATCGAGACCGAGGCTCATTTGCATACGGACCGCAGCATACGGATCCGGCCCCGTGTATAAAAAGGAAAGGTTCTCGCTGGCCATTCACAGTATCCAAAGAATATTTGCTTGACATACTCTTTCGCTGCATCTTTACAGACCAGAAAACCTCAATTCATCATGGCTCCAACAGCTCAAGTTGCTAAGAAAGGCTCCAAGAAGGCAGTCAAGGCACCTCGGCCCAGCGGTGGCAAGAAGAGGAACAGGAAAAGGAAGGAGAGTTATGGAATCTACATCTACAAAGTCCTCAAGCAGGTTCATCCAGATACCGGCATCTCCAGTCGGGCCATGGTCATCATGAACAGCTTCGTCAACGACATCTTCGAGCGAATTGCCGGCGAATCTTCCCGCCTCGCTCAGTACAACAAAAAGTCAACCATCAGCAGTCGCGAGATTCAGACCGCCGTCCGCCTCATTCTCCCCGGAGAGCTGGCAAAGCACGCTGTGAGCGAGGGTACCAAGGCAGTGACGAAATACACTACCTCCAAGTAGACAGGTCATATCCTGCTCTAATTGGACATAATACAACGGCCCTTTTCAGGGCCACACAAATAATCAAGAAAGAATGATATCCGTAGTAATGTAGCGTAGTTGTTTATTAAATAAATAATGTGTATACGAATATAAGATATAATCAAGATTACACAATAGTATGTAATATATTAGCCCTATATAAATCTCACTCTATAAATCTAGACTAGAGCATAAAGTGTAGTCATGATGGTCGGAAGGAAGACGAAAATAGTTGATTAATTAAATAAAAAAGAAATACAATTCGAGATGGCAACATGTCCTAAATGATATATGTCCATGCATCCTTTCCTTCCTTGAAAGGTTGACGAGATGCAGGTTAAGTCTTTTCTCATGATTCATCACCACCCAGCTCCCTGCCTGCCTCCCTCTCATCCGCCCTCTCAAGATCAGCCGAGCAGACTCTCGGTCAAACACCTTAATCATCATTTGTTAGAATGCATATTTTCGTAATTATTTGGCACCACTGAGTGCGTGAGCCGAATTCCCGGCTTGCCATGTAACCCATGTTGCAAACGGTGGTAGCGCCACCTTTCGACACATTTTATTGACTTTGCACATACGGCATCGCCAAGCCCCCTTCCCGTCACGCGCTAAACAAAAGAGCAACCCGGTTGACCAATCAAGAGAGCTTTACAAACGCAGGGCGACGGCACCAGGATCCTTCGCAGCACATATAAATAGCTGAAAATTGCCAGTGGTTCTCATTCATCCCGTCACTCGTATTTGAAGTACTGAATTACCTACTGTCTCTCAAGCAACTATGGCACGCACCAAGCAGACCGCTCGCAAATCTACAGGAGGGAAGGCTCCCCGCAAGCAGCTGGCAACCAAAGCTGCCAGAAAGAGTGCCCCCGCCACTGGAGGAGTCAAGAAGCCCTCATCGATACAGGCCTGGCACAGTCGCCCTGAGAGAGATTCGCCGCTACCAGAAGAGCACTGAGCTTCTCATCCGAAAACTGCCATTCCAGCGTCTAGTGCGTGAGATTGCACAGGACTTCAAGACAGAGCTACGTTTCCAGAGTTCCCGCTGTGATGGCCCTTCAAGAAGCCAGCGAGGCATACCTAGTTGGCCTCTTTGAGGACACCAACCTGTGTGCCATCCACGCCAAGAGGGTTACCATCATGCCCAAAGACATCCAGCTCGCCCGTCGAATCCGCGGAGAACGCGCCTAGAACCATCGGTACAGCATGTAGCCCATGCACCGCATACACAAACGGCTCTTTTCAGAGCCACCACAACCCCAAGAAAGAATCATTGATTTCTAAAATGAACACGATGCATGACAATCGACGCTATTATAAGAAGAAAAAAAAACAAAAACATTTGTAGATCATAATTGAGATGAACGATATGATGAAAATGTAGAACATAGTTTAGATACACGATATGATAAAAATGGAGAACACAATAAGTGTTAGGTATTAAAATGTGCAAGGAATATTCAAATATAAATCCATGAAATCTATGAACGTTTAATACTACGAACGTATGCCACATAATAAATCAAAGCTAGGGTGAATTATGATGAAACATATATTCTCAGAAAGAGAGTTTTTAGGCGATTGATTGATTGATTGATTGATTGATTGATTGATCTCTGAAATACAACATAGAACCTGACACTATTGGAAATAGGGGCAGTGTACTTGGAATGGGCTACAGTTTTATCACATGTTTTTAGGCGTTGTCGTCCCATCCATTTGAATTGATCTGTGTTTCTTTTTAATTCAAGAAACCCTATACAATCTGATTGTGGAGAAAACGGATAAGTCGCCGCGAGATGGCACCATTCACTAATGATGCGAAACAAGTTTAAGGAGATCCGGTCAGCTACTACCGCTGATTGGACAATAGTCACAATGCCCCCCGACGGTCACTGCGATCCTAACACCAGGTATAAATAGCCACCAAAACGCTGCTGGGCATCCATTCAAGTCATCGAACATTGTTACGTTCTGAACTTCGCTTCCGATTTATTCTAAACTCATCACAACATCATGTCTGGCAGAGGAAAGAGTGGAAAGGCCCGCACCAAGGCAAAGACGCGCTCATCCCGTGCAGGGCTCCAGTTTCCAGTGGGACGTGTTCATCGGTTTCTCCGAAAGGGCAACTATGCAAAGAGGGTCGGCGGTGGAGCTCCTGTCTACATGGCTGCCGTCCTAGAGTACCTCACTGGCCGAAATCTTGGAACTCGCAGGCAACGCTGCCCGCGACAACAAGAAATCTAGGATCATCCCACGCCACCTTCAACTCGCTGTGCGTAATGATGAAGACTCAACAAGCTTTTGGGTGGGGTGACGATCGCTCAAGGTGGTGTTTCTGCCCAACATCCAAGCCGTGCTGCTCCCCAAGAAAACCGCTAAATCAAGCTAGAGTTTGCTCCCGGCAATCTTGAAACCTCAACGGCCCTTATCAGGGCCACCATTACTCACGAAGAATTGTTTCATTTATGAGTTCCCTTCCCCCACTCTCTCTCTCTCTCTCTCTCTCTCTCTCTCTCTCTCTCTCTCCCTCTCTCTTAGTTTAAAACGCTACACTTGGGATGAACTAAGCCTTAACAGTTGTTGTATATAATGATTGATATATATTAAAACAGATACGCATCCTTAGATGTTATGACAAAAAAAGTGTATGAGCAGTAAAAGAAAAGAAAGTGGTTAATCAAAAATATATTTACAGTTACTAGTACGGAATATGGGGTGACCATGCAGGGCAAAATATTATCTTTTTTAGTCGGCATTTTAATGGGAACTATGATATGCAATTCCCATGAATGTGACTGTGTTTCAAGAGGGTGACGATCAGGGGTTGATGGTGTTATCGCCATTTGATTTCATTTTTTCTTCAAATTCATATATGATTGAGTACATTATACGTGGTAGGAGAGGAGAGGATGAAGAAGAGAGAAGACGGAGAAAGAGAAGAAAAAGGAGAAGGGGGTGGTGGAATAAGAGCATGTATGGATGGAAAAGAAGGGAGAAAAAGTTTCTTTAAACAAAACACAAACTGGCATGCAGTCATGGGGCGGACGACCCGGGACTGTCTCCTCCCACGTACGCAACAATGCCTTATATTGACGGCGTTGCCGAGCCGATGGTTATTCGTTTTGTTAACCTCCCGACGCACCGTATATCAAGATGGCTGAGAAGATAGCTCTAAGAGGTGACTACTAGAAGCCGGCCGCCCACCCACCGGCTGCCGAGATGGTTGCTACAGCAATCACCGAGTTGAAGGACCTCAATGGCTCCTCGCTGCAAGCAATAAAGAAGTATTCGCTAACCAATTTCGATGTGCAGATGGGACCGACAGCTGCTATTCATCAAGCGGGCCCTAAAAAGTCTGGCGTGGAGAAAGGCAAACGAGTGCAGACGAAGGGGAAAGGAGCTTCGGGTTTCTTCAAGGTGAATGTGCAGGCGGCCAAGGCACAGGCGTCGGAGAAGGCCAAGAAGG